AAATGAACAGTAGGTCTGACTGTGCTCTTATTTGAAATGCAAATAAAGTCCAAAAACCTTTTAGAGCACCCCGTAGGTTTCTCCTACATTACCTGTGGCAAAGGCCAAATTTAATTACTCCTTCTGTCACTCAGAGTCCCTCTCCCAGCAGTCGTTTCATCCCGGCTGCTTTTCAGCCTCAGTGGGAGGCAAGCCACCCTCCGAGGCCGCCGAGACCCGGAGGACCTGCGGGATTCCCATGATTATGCAGCTCTCCGCTCTCCATCCGGGGTTAATGGAGGCTAAAAGGAAAAGAACGAGCCTGCTCCGGATTCTTTTTACAGGCAATCAAACACGATTCATGCTCCATGTGTGATACCGGCCGTCACCTGCAGTGCACTCTGAGGGGAGGGAGGGGACTCGTTGGGGGGGTCGTGGGGACATTTATTTGGATTTTTGCCTTCTGGCTTTCAGGTTCTTTTGGTGGTCTTACTCCAACTCCCACTCACTGATGTATCTGCTGCTTCTCCATAGGTCACACTTAGACACCGAAACCACAGAAACCTCCTGCTGCTGTCACCGAGAGGAGCTTGTAAAAACCTGGGAGCTGTCTGCAGGGGCAAAGGATCATCTAAATACTCCACCAATAACCACGTCATGACTTTCGGGCCATGCCGCGCCCACCCAACAGCTGACATAACCTCTCCATATGTGGGCAACCCAACATGAGCCACTGCCCGAACTGGACTCTGGACTTCTCTGCCAGGTTTCTCAGTGAGTCCTAAAAGCAGCCCAGGTTAGGTCCCGAGGAGTCATCGAGGAGTTGAGTTGCTGAATCAGCTGATTGAAGAGTGGAGGAGCTTTCCTGCATCATATGTTGGAAATACACATTCTTAAAAACAACTTTTGCACATGTGGGAGCAATAAGAGCATCAATCTATCACCTTCACAGGTTCTTCACAGTGAAGAGATCCAGCCTGCTGTGGAGGAGCATTGCTGCTGCTGAAGCAACAAGCAACTTTTGATGGGAAGAGAGCTCAGCCCAGCAGGCAGGTCAGCTGTTTACATGCTTCTCTCTAAGCATGCTCAACCCGCTGAACTGATACCCACATGGAGGACAGAATATGTGACTGAAAGCTGACAGCAGGACGGATAGAGACGGTAAACCCCGGAAAACTGGCAGAACAACCTCGGGATGAGTTCTCTCCGGCCACCGTGTGAGAATTAAATATGCCACTGGTGCACTAACAAAGGATCTCAGTTCAACCTTCAGGTGTTAGCACCTTTCCTCGAGATTACCAAACCGTCCCACCCGCATCGCTGTTTGTTTCATCCAGATGGTTTGAGGTCTGGATTCTGGGAATACCTTTAGCTTGGAGCCCCTTCTGGGGATTTTAAAGGTTGCCTGGCATTTACATGTAAACAGCCAAGTGACTTCAATGTGAGTCACTGTGATTCTTACACCTGCTTCAGAGGTTTTCCTCTGTATTTCTATATTTCCTGTATTTTTCAGACTATAAGGCACTTAAAATTCTTTAATTTTCTCAAAAATCGACAGTGCGCCTTATGTATGAATTCTGGTTGAGCTTACTGACCTCAAACCGATTTTTTGTGGTACACGACACTCAAAAATCTGCTTCAACATAATATTATGGTGTGATTATAAGGACCCCAAAATGGCACCTTTTAAGAGACATGCTTACGGGCCGAAATCGCCCACCTGTCAAACTCAGACACTGAAGATCGAGAATTTGATGGATTTCTGGACGAAGAATGAACTGAAAAAGTGAGTGTTTTGTTCTGTATTTTATGTGTTACAACTGAACAATGTTGAGAGTTATCGTGAATGAGTTGATTAAAGTTTGAATTATGTAACAGTTTTGTTTTGCTTAATGCACCTTATAATCCGGTGCGCCTTCTGTAACAAAATAGACCCGTTCATTGATATTGTGCCTTATAATCCGGTACGCCGTATAGTCCAAAAACTACGGTACATTATCAGTTGTAATCACACATAAATAAATCCAGGACCAGGACAAGAGTGGGAGAAGATCCACACAAGGACCCTCTGGCTGTTTGCTGACCACTGTTTCATTATCAGCTCATTTTAAAAAAAGACCTGATCTCCTCTTTAAAGGCTGAAACTGAAGTCCACATGAAGAGGTGGTTGCATGAATCTTATCTGGACCAAAGCTTCACTTTGTTCACTTTACTGTTTCACCATAGGCACCAAGTGTACTAGGGCTGGCATCTGGAACAATACACAGCTAAAAATGTCATATTAAATTAAAATGTAATATATTTCCAAAGCATAAAGAGTACTTTATGAAACGTACCTGTACATAACGTTAACATTCATGTCACAGAGCTTGAATTTCCACCAAACCGCACCAGCGGAGCTCAGGCTGCACTCCCGGTCATCAGATACATGCACGAAACAAACGTTTGACCTTTGAACTGCACCCCGACACTAACACAGAACCAGTGAAAGGACGCTAGCAGTCACAGTGATTGAATGGTTCTGTCTGCTCGAGCAAGTAAGCAGCCTTGGTATTAGCATTCAGAACTACCTGAAAACAATCCAGGGCAGATTTACTAGTTGAGGAAAACAGCGATCGACAGAAATCCATACAGGACAAGACTGAGTACATCAACTTACACCATCTTACACCCCAAAAATCCCTCCATAAGCTTCAACTGGTTCAAAACTCTGCTGTTCGCATTATTATCAGAATCCCCTCCTACCAGCACATCACCCCTGTTCTTCAGGAACTTCACTGGCTCCCAGTGAAATTCAGGATAATATACAAACTTCTTCTGCTCACCTTCAAGACCCTTCATAACCTTGCTCCTCCTTACCTTTTTGACCTGTTAAGCACTACCTACCCGCTACTACTGCCCACTCACTTTGATCTTCTTCTTCTTCTTCTTCTTCTATCTCGTGCCTTCTTTCCACCTCACCACAGTGGGAAGGAGAGCTTTCAGCTGCTCTACTCCCAGGCTGTGGAGCTCTCTACCCCCAGATTTAAGAAACATTGATTCCCTCCCCCTGTTTAAATCTTTAACTCAAAACCTATCTGTTCAAATCTGAATATTCACTGTGAACCCACTGTTTGTTTTTGTTTTTATTGTCCTTCATTTTGTCATCTCTATTATATGTTTTATTCTATTGTTAGGTGTCCTTGGGTGTCTTGAAAGGCGCTTTTAAAATAATTTAAATAATAATAATAATAATAATTATTATTATTATTATTATTATTATTATTATTTTATACTTATTATTTTATACTTATTATTATTAATAATTATTATTATTATCATTATTGTTAATATCTATAGAAACTATATACCCTGGCAGCAGTCAGGGGGCCCGTTAGCATCAATAATAACCCGATCGATATATCAATGACTGATAAACATGTGTCAGAGTTGACTGTATGTCCACTGTGTTCGCTCATTATCTTTGTGCCGCTGTGACGGCTCGCCCTACTCTAACTTCAAGTTCCTCTTCATGTTGTAAGCCTGACTCATGCAGGTAATCAGTCCTTGTTACAGATGTCTGTGTTTATTTGTATGAAACATCTGGAAACACCGGCCTCACTGTGTGACTGCACATCTGATATTTCTGTTTCTCTGCTGAAGCAGCTTCATCACTCAAAACCACGAAGAGACAGCATGTGCTCACTTTAATCAGACAAGTCCATCAAGTGCTTAACCTCCACCCTCAAGGCTGAGTGCGCACACACACATACACACTAACACACACATACACACTAACACACACACTCCCCACTCATACATGAATAAGCTTGATGAGATGAGTCTGACCTCAACTCTGTGCTGAATGTATGAAGGTGCTGGAAGGAAACAGTTTGAATCATTAAATGATGGCAGTGAGCTCTGTGAGCTCAGCCTCAACGGCCAGGCTGAACCAATGAAAATGCTGAAAATGTGTAGCAGGAAATAAAAAACCAAACAGGGACTGACGGACTGAAGGTGGCGATAAAACTGACCTACAGGAACAGGAGGCCTGATTCCAGCCTGAGATCTTCTCCCAGAGCTCGACTAACAGGTTCAGGTTCAAATGGTCATCAATCCAAACAAAGCTCTCGGATATTAATAAAATGATTGACCTGTAGTCTATGAAGAACATCCTCACGTAGCTCTTCCTGTTCTCCAGATGGCTCAGCACTCTCTGTGAAGGGCGATGGACCGATTTGCTCTGTAAGCAAACTACTACCCCTCCGTGGAGGGAGGGGGGTAAAGAGTCTCTGATGTACAGTTTTCGTCATATTTTCTCACCACTCTGGCTCTTTTCTTCTCACATTTTCATATTTGGAACTTTATTATATTAAGATAAACTTGATTTTTCTAACTGAGGGACAGGAACATATGCACTGTGAGTGCTTTTGAGGTGATGATGAGATTAAGCTTGACTGTCTTCAGATGCAGCTACTTCAATGGAGAAGCATAAATCCAGATGTTTAGAAGACCCGACCTGCACATGTGGAAAAATAGAGATTTCTTCTGTTTCAGAGTGTAAATATTTCCTGCAGCTGTGGGTTTGAAACTGTGCATAGCGTTATTTCTGATGATTCCTCTAAGTGTGTGGCACCTTTGCAGTATCAGTCACATGACCTAGCAGCTCTGTCTCAGGTCAGGTGCTGCCTCCATCAGTGGATTCAGCTCATACTCACGCAGATAAAAAAAAAAAACATCCAATCATGTGTGAGCATTTTCCCGGCAGTGCTTCCTTCTCAAGGACGCCTGGCCTGTAGTCACTAAAGGGGGCAGGTGTGTGCGTGTGTGTGTGTGTGTGTGAAATGCTGACTGGCCCACTTTGAGCCTCTCTCACCTTTAAAGCCGGTGCTTACCAATCAAATGTGTAATTTGCACCTGTGCGTCTATGAGATTTCTCCCCATTAAGCTCTTGAGCTGCTGATTTCATTGATTAGCTCCTCCTCTGGCTTGGCGGAAATCATGCTGAGGAGCCCTAACGAGGCCTAACAAGGGTGGCTCACCTGCACAGGGCGTCCGAGCGGCAGGTGCGCCGCAGCTCCAGACAGCTGGCTTTGTGCCTCTCCTGGTGTGAGCAGGACGGGACAATGGTGCGACGGCGACGCTCAGCACACGCCTGGTCCGGGCACGAGCAGAACAGCAGGGGGTAGCTCAGCTCCCATGACACCCGCTCGAAAAACTGTCGCAGGGCCTGAAACACACGACGCGAAGAAAAAGGTAAACAAGACGAGGAATGTGGTACAGGTGATTGAGTGCAGCGAAAAAGCTAAAAGCACTAAACTATTATTCCTTAATATGAGAAAAGAAGCCTGCATTAACAGTATAGCACAGCCTGTTAAATAATAATATCACTTTCCTAAGTGCCGAGGGAGACAACCGCCTGGCCGGGACTGGTGTCTGCATTTATCTGGAATATAAACTAGGAATTCCCAAATTAGGAAAAAATATCTGGAAAGAGAAAAGTGGCAAAGTGGTCTGTTTCACTGAGGAGGGATCTGCAGCATCACTGGTCCCTTTGATTTAATACTCACTAGCTTTACAACAAACCAGTGAGACTGGTGTCCACAGGTATCCACATGGTCGGGATGCTGAGTAAAATGTTAAAAAGAAATCTGAATGATTCAAAATGAGCTTAGATTTTTATTAAAACTGAATTTCTTCAGTTTAAACACATGACAGGTTTTCTGTTTTATACTGAGAATAAATTATAGATTTCTGAGATCACTGCATTCTCTTTTTATTCACGTTTAATTCAGCATGAAAACTTTGTCAGGATTGGGGTTGTACACGGATAAAAGTTGTTCATGTCACACCTGCAGGAGGCCCTCAGCGTGAACCTCCTGGCACACAGCTTCTGTGCTGATGTTAATGCTGAAGGAGATCTGGAGCGGCGCAGTGACCCCAGTACTAACATAGCGTTCCACACATCTCACGGGTCTGAAACATCTGGGCTCAAAGATCAATAGGTCTAAATGTTTTTGTTAGAATCCCGGTGAAGGCCTAAACTTCTTTGGATGCAGCTCATTTGTTTTGCTTGTTAGACTTGTCAGAATTGTTTGCGGCTAGGGATGGGTACCGGTTCTGACATAAACGGTAGTAACCAGACCGAAAAGCAGCGCACATTTCGGTGCTTTTTTTCCCCTGAGATGTCATACACTTCAGATTCTAGCCAATCATTTTACCTTTGCAAGCGTAGTAGGCAGGCCCAGGTACGTACGTTCTTTTAGAGCAGAGCTACAGATTAAAAATGCCCAAGGTAGGGTTTTTTTTTTTTTTATACAGCTTGTGAACTCACTGTCTGACCCATACTCCGGAACAGTAGGAGGCGGTAATGCTCCTTTACGTTGGTTGCCAACCGCCGTTAAACACAAAGAAGAAGAAGAAGAAGAAGAAAATGCCCAAGGCGAAGCGGTCAAAAGTCTGGCTGTACTTCACAGCAAAATATGCAAACTCAGCAGCCTGCAACAAGTGCTTTAAGGTGATACTGTGCAAAGGAGGTAACTCCTCGAATCTGATGAAACACCTGGCGACGTATAGCATTTTGTTAAAAGCAGAGAAATGCACCGTATTTGATGGCTTGCTGCGAGACCTCACATCGAGCACATCTACTGCGGGTGTGGTGCCTGTTATCAGACCGGAGTTAGCAACATCCCCCAAAAACCCGAATAGGAGAGTCCTGGCCCCTAGCCCTGCCAGTGTAGCAGAAATCATGACGGATGATGATGCAGCAGCAGCTGTTCTTCTCTGCGTGAGTAGCTTAATGTTGTTCGTGTGCAAGCTAACCACGTTATTAAATGAATGCATGTAAGGTGAACTAGCAAACACCGTTGTAGTTCCATACGGCTGTCTTCTTGTTTGATGGCAGATACTCCCTTCACCCTGGCCAAAAAGGCTAAAATGACCAAAGGAAAAGTGGGAAACAGCTAAACATGAGAGGTTTTTGGACAAAGTTTGTGTTTTTTTTCCATTGTTTAAGCACTGCTTGCAACCAAGAATGATACCCTATAGCTGCAGAAAAGGCTAACATTGTTATCTTTTTACAAAAAAAACTGCTAAACATGAGAGATTTTTGGACAAAGTCTGTGTTCTCCATTCTTTAAGCACCGGTTCGAGCACTGTTTAAGCACCGTCACCGTTTCAAAAGTACCGGTTTGGTACCGGTATCGGATAAAACCTAAACGATACCCATCCCTAATTGCGGCATCATTTGAAGACATAAACTGTAGATAAAAGATGGACTTTGCCTGCAGTCTTTCTCATGTCCATCAGGGGGTGATTCCTCAGGTCTGATTGGATAGAAGTCTGTTCGAGAAGTCTGAGCGTCCTGTTCAACTGGTCTCTGAGCTCAGTTAACTGTTTCCTGTCAGGTGTGACTGAATCAAACAGGATGTTACCTTTTGCATTATTATAATTGCAGGGTCGTGACCTTACAATATAAAACGCCCTGAGGCAATACTGAAGCCGAAACCTGACGAGTCTAGAATTACTTCAGCTGTGATGTTTCCTGACACGCTCAGAGAGGCTGCTCTGGATCCTCACAGTAAAATCTGCTGCACTGAATCTGTGTTTGAGCATCTTCAGTGTCACTGACTCACAGTTGGTAAAAACTCCTCACTACTCTGAGCCGGGAGCAAAACTGGCAGTTTTTCTGCAGGTGTTTGGCTGTGGCCCGGTGATGAGGACACACAGACTTATTGGATTTTCCCAGGAGTCTGTGATCCATGGAGCCCAGGGGTGTTCATCTCAGCCTCGGAGCTGTGGAGCTGAATTTAGATGCTTTCTCAGGTGAAATATAACCGTATTAAAAAAGCATTTTAAATGCTGCACTTTTACTTGACTATTTTTAAAGATTTTATTCCAACAAACAGTTTGTGTAATTCTGCCACTGACGTAAAAGTGAAACCGAGGAGGAGGAACTTGAAACGTTAATAACCTTTTAGCCTTTAGAAAGCTTTTAGCATCACAGCCTGCGCAGCGCTGATACCATAACACCAGCTCTGCAGTCCAGGCGCTGTCACATCATCACCATCATCACCGTCATCAGAGAGACCCTCGGACGGTTTAAACATGGAGGCCGTGAGGTTTGAGCCTCAGGTGCCACAAATGCTGTAAATGATGCTCAATCACTCTGAAGGGCGCTGAGACACGGGCAGCTGTCAGTGCTAGCTGTGTGCTTACTGCACACGTGCATATGTTTGTGCTGGTGGAGCATTTTTTTTAATGACATCATCTGACCAATAATATGGCTGCTATGAGGTTACTGTACTAAAAGATCATCTGAGAATAATTACATAATTTACACCTGCAGGTATTATGACCTGGTAAACAGATCAGTCTGTGAGTGAGTGCTGCATGCTCTCAATTTACATGAACTAGTTTCAGTCAGAGGCTCAGAAGGAAAAACGGTTCTTTATTTAATTTTTATGTTGGCCTTATTGACAGATACAGTGAAGAACTGGCAGGAAAGCAGAGGGAGAGAGGGGAAAACATGCAGCAAAGGGCCGCGGGTCAGATTTGAACCTGGGCCGGCCGCTCTCAGCCGTACAGCACATGGGTGCCTGCTCAACGCACTGAGCTCAACTGCCACCCTGAGCAGTTATTGACGAATCAGAAGGTTGGAGGTTTGACCCCCTGCTACTGCAGTCTGTATGTTGAAGTACCGTTGGGCAAGATACTAAAGCCTGGTGCATCCATCCGAGTGAGTGTGAGTTAAACCACTTGTTTCAATACAGAAAATTGTGCCTGTGTGACCAGGAGGATGAGGCCTGAAGGACCTTCAGCATAAAACAGGGCTTATACTGTTTTATGCTGCCTATACTGAAAAAGGACAATCTTGACAAGACACAAATGAACAACTACAGGCCGATCTCAAATCTCCCATTTTTAAGTAAGATCATTGAAAAAGCAGTTTCTCAACAGCTCAATTACTTCTTAAAACAGAATAACTGCTATGATGCCTTCCAGTCGGGTTTTAGACAGAACCACAGCACTGAAACCGCTCTGACCAAAGTGTTTAATGACAAATGTCTGAATACAGACAGTGGAAAAATGTCAGTCTTAGTTTTACTGGATCTCAGTGCAGCATTTGACACAGTTGACCACAACCTATTACTCAAACGACTGGAGAACTGGGCAGGTCTTTCAGGAACTGTACTAAACTGGTTCAAAACATACTTAGAAAACAGGAAATACTTTGTATCAATAGGTAACTTCACATCTGAGCAGACAAGTATCACATGTGGAGTTCCCCAAGGTTCCATCTTGGGACCCCTTCTGTTTAACATTTACATGCTCCCACTGGCACAGATTATAAAGAACAACAAAATAAACTACCACAGCTATGCAGATGACACACAAATATATATCACAATGTCACCAGGAGACCGAGGCCCTGTACAGGCTCTTGGTAAATGCATTGAGGAAATTAATGACTGGTTGTGTCACAATTTTCTTCAGCTAAACAAAAACAAAACTGAGGTAATAGTCTTTGGCGCCAAAGAAAAACGATTACAGGTCACCAGAGAACTTCAATCTATACATCTAAAAACCACAAACCAGGCGAGAAATTTGGGTGTAGTGATGGATGCAGACCTAAACTTAGAAAAACACATTAAGACAATAACAAAATCAGCTTACTATCACCTCAAGAATACAGTGGGGCAAAAAAGTATTTAGTCAGCCACCGATTGTGCAAGTTCCCCCACCTAGATGGCGCCGCGGATGGTCGCCCTGGTGCTTCAGTGCGTTACTTTTGTTTTGTTTTTGTGCATTTTCTCTGTGTCTGGGCACTCCTCTGGATACTCGTACACCAGAGAAGAGCTCCTTAACTACAGGACTACAACGCCTGTGGATTTATTTCCAATATTTGTCGCATCTGCGGCAGATTTACTGCTGACTCTGACCAGGAAAGCGAGACGCCGAAAGAGAGGGAAGCGAGCCGGCGCACTCGTGCGTTTGAGGAGACGCGGACTGCGAACTGCTCTTCCTGGGATCTTCCTTTCTAATGTACGCTCACTCGGCAATAAGATTGACGAACTGGCCCTGATGAGAAGCATGAACAGAGACTTTGCCTCCTCCTGTGTCTTATGTTTTACGGAGTCGTGGCTCAGTGAGAACATCCCAGACTGCGCGCTCAAGCTGGAGGGCTTCCATCTGCTGCGCGCGGACCGGCAGGCAGCTCTCTCCGGTAAG